CATCTCCTGGGGATCTGTGCTTTACTAGTCAAAGGTTTAAACCCAGTGTATTCCCCATGAATAATCTGTCTCCCGTTCCCCCTCCTTCCTCCTGTCCACATCTAAATGCAGAATCCCCAGCTTCCTTGTCTTCAGTTTACAGATTATGCGATCCAAAGTGTCACTCACTGGATTACTGCACATAACCTGAGCACTACCCAAAGCTTACTTGTCTTCAACTTGTCCAGCATTACTTAAATGGAATTATCCGTCACAATCCATATACCGAATCTGCACAGCCCACTTATCTCAAGATTCTGTGTGTCACCTACCAGATTATCCGTTTTAATCCATACATTGAATCTACATAACATATGTCTTTAATTCATGGGCTCTGATGAGCTATAGTATCGTTGAATGGATTATTTCTCTTTATCCATTATTGGCAGTCATAAAACCGTTCACTGCGTACTTTCTCAGGCTCCATCTTCTGAACATATAAGCAAGATTAGAGTCTTCGGCAAACACAGCTCTATCCCACATCAAACACAGCTTGATATAATACCTGAACTGATACTTCACGAAACTTAGAACCCAGTTTCTCACACAAAACAAATGTCTGTGTTACCATGCATTAAAGATTAGGATTGGTAGGCTAATCTTGCTTTCAGTTACACTCATAAATCTGTGGTTACTCCAGTACAGTCTTTGGAGTCACCTAAATTTAAGTGGCTAGAACAAAGAGCTGAATTTATCCTAACGATGATCCCTTTCACAGTGAGTGCAGAAAACACTTCACCTGAGCTGTTTAGGAACTAACCTGTACAATAGAGAAGGATTTTCAAACAACAAAAAAATATCAGGTTCAGGCTTGCCCAGTCTTTCTTGAGAGATTCAGGTGCAATCACTGTTAACAATGCCTTCACTTCAACAGAAAAGCAACTCAGAAAGATTAGAAAGAAAAGTCAGTTTAGCCTTTTGTTCCACACACCTATTCAAAATTAGCTAAGTGGAGAACATATAAAATATGCGATATTATTTCTTGACAACTCTCGATAAGCAAGAGATGGACAAGATTAGCAGAAAGGCTTTGTGTACAGCGGGGAAGTTTTAAAAACAGTTCTCATCATGGCTAAAGCTGCCTCACTCACATCAGTGTTAGCAAGACTGTGCACCCCATGATGCACCTGCCTACCTGGGGAGCCAGCACTATTCCCTGAAGTCTGCTCAGATGATACCCAACACCAGTTAAACAGAAGTTTCGTGTTTGTTTTCTGAATATGGGGATGGCCACTGGCACTGAAGAGCATGGAAATCCACTTCTTATACCTTTTCCTATCAATGATTGCCATACATGTTGCATCTGCTGTGGTCGGTAATGTTGCTGGGGAGGAAAGCAACCACTTTCAGCCTGCAATGCACAGTATCAGGTGGCTATGCTGAAAGCAGAATGGGGATGTAATTTTCCTTCCTGTAGCTGATCGGTTTGAGACCTGAAGTTCTTTCTGCTCCACTGAATCCAATAAACTGCATTATCCATGAATAATCCAGAGGCCTTTTGAGCCCCGTTCTTGAATATGATGGATATAAGTAAGTTTGAACAGGCTTTTATCAATTCACTACACAGTTTTACAGCTTTATTTTAAAACACTTCCATTTAACGGCATGTTTTGTGGGTTTTACTATAGGCTGACTTGTTTTGAACAGAGTAAAAATTCCATGGATTTCAAAACAAAATTTCTTAAGAAATTTCCAGTGCCAAACTTTTCGTATTTACTTAGCCCCATACTACCTCTCTAAACAAACAGAGGCATTTGAGTTAAAATTTCTACAGATATGAAAGGCTCTAGATTTTGCTCCATTTTAAGTATCAGAGTATTCCCTTGCAGTACCTTTCCATGAAGCCCTGGAATAAAATACTACACATCCTCTTCCGTTAGTCAATGGACAGATATAGATCCTTCTAACTGTGATCCTGAAGTTTGCAGCTAGACCTCTGCAGACACTCTGTGATGGTTCTCCCATTTTACAGGCATGCAGATGAAGAAAGGGATGCTTAAAGTAGCTGCTGAAAGTAACAAAGCAACTAAGAGGAACAACTGAATACAAAACGTAGGAGTCTGGTGACTTCCAGCCATTTACCAACTCCCCTATCTTTAATAAAATATTACTGCTTTCTAACTTAAAAGAAATAACACTAATAGAAAATAAAGTCTTCCACTTCATCTCCCTTTCTTTTAATCTCTCCCAGAGAATAAAACCGAATGGTAATAACACAGACTTGGGCATTAACAATATGTAGCTTACCGATGAGACTTTAGCACATGACGTACTAAAACTCCCCCAGATCTAATGAAAAACACAATGAAATTTTGAACAGTTAAATGGAAAAAACTATTCAGTGCATAAGACAGTTGGGCAGTACAGCTTCTAGTGCTGTCCACATTCCAGGGTGTATTAATAATAAGACACTACTTGTGCGGTGTTTCTAAATATCACTAATAGAGAAATTAGAAAAAAAAAATGCAGCTGCCAAGCCAAATATAGAGAGAAGCTAATTAACAAATCACAACTGGAAAACTTAATAACTCTACATTCCTATAGAAGGACAAAAACATTTCCTAGGATAATATATGTGTGTTTGTACACGCATACGTGAGTATAAAACGGCTCAACCTGCACACCTTTCATGTTGCCTCACTAAATACAGCTGCAATACAGCTGAGCCATTGTTTGTTGGCCGCTCATGGCTGGCGGTGCCACGAAAACCACATTCCTGGGCACTAAATAATCAGCCTGCCTGACCCCCCAAGAACCTGTAAGTCAAATTCATTTACCCCCAGAGGGCAATGCTCTATTGTATCCTCCCTCCTTTCTAGCCACCTAGGAACAATGGACAATAATTGCAACTGTCACGGCAGTCAGTAGGAAAAATAAACCAGTGCCTGTTTTCACAGCTTACTGCCAAACCTGATCCAAACACCTAATAACCATGCCCCCAACCATAGCACCACAGTTGCACTAAAAAGCCTCAGATGTGAGGCTTTTGAACAGAGCTACAGAACAATAACGCGACTTGTGTTCAAAATATGAAGCTAAAAAACAAAAATTAAAGCACAGAAAACTCTTCTTTGAGGCTGTGCTGTTGCTCCCCATCCTCCCTCCGGGCAAGACTGAAAGGACTGTTGAATTTCTTTCGTGCTAGCATATAGCTGCTGCTGGTGCTTTCAAGTTTAACTTGTGAAAGGGAAAG